GAATCTTAACAAGCTCATCCAAGCACCACTTTGAGGAGGCATAGTTTTCGGAGAACACCACCACATAAATCTTTGAGTCTTCAATTGCTGTGAGAAGCGCGTTTGATATTTCTTCTCCTCTTCTGAGCTCATCATCCATGAAGGTGTTAATTCCTTGTAGACGCAAATTGCTATACAAATGGCTTGTGAAATTTGAGCGAGTGTCTAAACCTCTGAAGCTGAGAAAGACATGGTATTTCCATGACTTGGTGAAAGGAGCAGAAGAAGAAGAGGCTCCTCGGTTGGTCATGGAAGCCAAAGATAATTGTTTCAGTGTTTGCATCTCTCCTTGGATTCGCTAAGCCAAATATGAGTCTTTTTGACTTGAAGAGCTTGGATGTGAGCAAATGTAAAAGGCAATGTGAATTCATGAAATGGTGGGCAAGTGCCGGTGAAACTTCCTGTCTTCAACTGAGACGACCCACCGGATATGTTTTGTTTATTGCCACCTCACCTGTAGCTAATTTTGTATTACTCTAGGGGGCTTGCTTTCGGTGAAGTGCTCTCTAGTCTCTAGGCATGAAACAAAAGAAAATGAATCATAGTTCATAATTGATCGCTGGCAAACCCATGACACAGCTTAAATAATATAAGTTAAGATGGTTTTCAGAAGTCATATTTGATTTTATTTGATTAATTAAAATAAGTTTAATCACAGTCGCATGAAACAAAAGGAAATGACGAATGAGCCACAGATTCCTCCTAGAAAACGACGAACGAGCTACAGATTCCTCAATTTGGATCGATCAGGTTTGTACTTATTCTTACCTGATTTTTTTTATTTAAATTTTGGGTATGTTTTTAAGCAACAAATTGTGACAATGGTGCCCCTCTGCCTTGTTGGGATAAGAATTCTATAAAAACTGCACTAATTTTGCATCAAGTTTATGATTTTACAACAGCTCTTTGAAGTCATTGCCTGTTCTGTTTTGTTTCATTTTGTTTTGTTTTGTGATGCATTCCTTACTAATTTTATATTCTTCACATCCAATTCTTATTTTGATTTCTATCCACAATACTTCCCATGTTCATTCTAACACTGATGTGATGTGTATGTAGCAAGTCTTTTATTTATTTATTTAATTTTTCTTCCTGTTTGGTAGTAATATATTTGTATATCCAAGGTTTGCAAATATGAACAATTGGGTGTGGAAATGCACCATTCATTTGGTCGTGGTGCGAGGATTGCGGCTCAGGTTGACTTGGTGTCTCCGAGGCCTGCGAGGAATGAGACTCGGTTAATTTTGTGTTTCCGAGGCCTGTAAGGATGGAACTGACAAGATACTTAGAATTAAAGGAATATTATCGGAATTGACAACATATTAAAGGAATTGACGGAATATAAATGGGGGTACACCTAAGTTGAGGGTAAATGAGATGTTTAAACTAAAATTCGTGATTTTATCTTGATATTTATTGGTAAAAGCTTTACTACATATTTTCCATTGTGTGAGACAAAGATTGAGGATTTCTAAGTTTTCAAGAGGTTAAACAATTCATAACTATTTTCTCGAGTAATGAATTTGTTGTTACATGAGAAAGAGTTAAGCAGGTTTTTTTTATATTTAAATTGTTGATAATGACATTTAGGTTTCACGGGGTCAGTGCTATTTTAATAATTTTCTCGGTTGCTACTTATCTGTAATCTATACATATAAAGCAAAAGGCAGAGAATGGTGAAACATTAAAAATACTAGAAAATACCCTTAGTTAATTCAAATATTTAAGAATTGAAATTATTAATTAAATGAGGATAATATGGTAAATTCACATTTTTCATATTAAAAAAATTTAAAATAAAAATAAAATCAGATAATAGGTCCTACATTTATAAAACATAACTACCCATGTTATTTTTTCTTAATTCTAAAAATAAAATAAAAAATAAAAAATAAAACCAATTGGCACATGCATGGCTAGTAAGTAATTAAATATATATTTGTATATGCTTGTATGGGATGAGTGGAAGATTGTGCTGAAATCAACAACCCATGCTTGAGTTTCAATGGTTTGATTTGCAAATTTCATTGAGAAATAACAATTGATGAAGTTATATAAGTGCAAATGTGAAAAGAGGAAGAACTACGTGTGACTTGATGAATTTGGGTCGGATTCTGTCAACAATATCTCTAACTCACTAATATTTCCCTCTTGGAGAATTTCTCTACTCTCGTTTCTCTCCTCTCACTCTTCTTTCTGTCTTCCTTCCTCTGTCTGGGTTCTCATTTTTCTTTTCTAATAATGTGTCTCATTACAATTATTTCTTGGCTTCCCGTGAATGTGCAATTATTTCGTCCAATATGTGGACTCCACTTTTACAACACCTTCATCATCACTTTACCCACTCAGACAACAAGTCTTCAAATAAATAGTTAGTGGTCTCCACTATTTAAAAAAAAAAAAAAAAAAAAAAAAAAAAAAAATCTTCTATTTTTCTTTTAACAATTGGACACTTAAACAAACTACATGATTAAGACTCAAAAAGAAAGAAAGAAAGAGAAAAATCAAACTATTTGGCCATTTCTCTTTCTATTTCTAACGTTCACATGAAAACAAAAGGAAATGAATCATAGTTCCTACGTGTCAGCTCTCCAACTTCCCAGTAAGTTTCCACTAGAAAACGACAAATGAGCTACAGATTCCTCCTCTGTTTTTTCAGATTTAATTTCATTTTGTTGAAGTTTAATTTCGTATGATCACGGGAAGGACTTAGCATGGTTTTCAGAAGTCATATTTGATTTGATTAAATAAATAAGTTTAATCACGTTCGCATGAAACAAAATGAAATGACGAATGAGCCACAGATTCATCCTACAAAACGACGAACTAGCTACAGATTCCTCCTCTGTTTTTTTCATATTTAATTTTTTTTTCTTTTGTTGAAGTTTAATTTCGTACGATGTTGGATTCACGGGAAGGACTTAAGATGATTTTCAGAAGTAAATTTTATTTGATGAAATAAAATAAGTTTAATTACAGTAAAATAATAACAACAAAATAATTAATAAGAGAAATATATTATGTAGGGCCAAAACACCAATGGGAGAAGTGGTAGCATTGAGTGGCAGATTGGGTGGGGGATCGTCGAAACTCGCGCTAGGGAATCTTCATCGTCTTCCTTTCTCTGGTACCAACAGCAACAGTGTAGTTCATGCAAGCCTGTTTTCAGGGGTGAGGTTGAGGAAGAAGCCTGGTCCTCAATTTGAATCGATCAGGTTTGTATTTATTCTTGCCTGATTTGTTTTGTTTTTGGGTGTGTTTTTAAGCAACTAATTGTGACAATAGTGCCCCTCTGCCTTGTTGGGATAAGAATTCTAAAAAAACTGCACTAATTTTGCATCGAGTTTATGATTTTACAACAGCTCTTTGAAGTTATTGCCTGTTCTGTTTTGTTTCATTTTGTTTTGTTTTGTGATGCATTCCTTACTAATTTTATATTCTTCACATCCAATTCTTATTTTGATTTCCATCCACAATACTTCCCATGTTCATTCTAGCAATCAAACACTGCTGTGATGTGTATGTAGCAAGTTTTTTTTTTTATAAAAAAAAAAATAAATCCTGTTTGGTTAGTAATATATTTGTATATCCAAGGTTTGCAAATATGAACAATTGGATGTGGAAATGCACCATTCATTTGGTCGTTGCTAATTTAGAATATTCACTTTTTGACAGTAATGTATTCCTTGCACATACGTATAAGCATTCGAGAGATGTGATGATATTTTATATAGGTAATAAAAATTCCGCCAATTTTCTGTTGGGGTGCTAAACATGAATATGTAGTTTGACCTAATATTCAGTTCTAAATTTTGTAACTTCACCTTTCTAACCGAAAGTAAATAGTAAATATCAGGCATGGGCATTAAGGGCCAGGTAGCATCTCTCCTCTACCAAATAGGGAAGTCTTAGGTTTGAACTTATGAAAGGAAAAGGGAGAAAGTCCAGGTCCAACCCTTTCTAATTGCCAGTTTTAGTGCTTTCTGTTTTCTGAGGGTGTATGGAACTTGGTAGAGAGTACTTCAAGTTGTCTAGTCCATTACTGATGTTTGGTCAATAAAACTCTATTTATACTCTTTTTTTTGTTTTTGTTTTTGAAATTCTATATTGACATTTCCTTCTGTTTGCATGGAGAAAAAACCTCACTGATGATGTGATGATTGAGTTGTAATAGCTCATATGATACAAACACACTGTAAATTTTCTCTGTTTATATTTTTCAGACGACTCTATAATCTTCTTTCACATTTTTAATAGTGATCCGGAGTGAAATGTTAGATTCAAAATGCATATTCCCATACGATATTAGTTTTTTTTTGCAAGAAGAGGTCTAATAAGAAGTTCATTACTGCAAAATTTACTATGGTTATTTTGGCATGCAGAAGGAAGAGATTTGCCAAAAGGTTGGTTACTGAAAGTTTGATCTCTAAAATGGCTGATAATGAAGGAAAGGCAGTCGCTACTGATGTCACCTCAGGATCTATGATTTTTGAGCCTATCATTGAGGATGGAGTATTCCGATTTGATTGTTCTGCAAATGATAGAAATGCAGCATATCCTAGTATCTCTTTTATTAATAGCAAGGATAGGGACACACCAATTATGAGTCACAAGATACCTTCATATATCCCAAATTTTCAATGTCTATTGGGGCAGCAGATTGTTAAACTCGAGGTCAGCAATAGATTTTCAAATTGAATTTGGTGCTTCCTGTATTATCTATTTCTTTTTGTCTCTTTCTTAACAACTATATTGTCTTTTCATCGTGATAGTTTCTATGCCTTAAATTAACATGGTAGAATTGCTTTTGGTGTAGCTTCCTGTCGGGACCTCTCTCTATGGAACTGGGGAAGTTAGCGGGCAACTTGAGCGGACGGGGAAAAGAGTAAGTCATCTTTTGATGATCTATCCATGAAGGATTTCCCTCCTCTCTAAATGTTTAGTATTTCTGCTTGATTTAGGTTTTTACTTGGAACACGGATGCATGGGGTTATGGTTCTGGAACTACATCATTGTACCAGTCACATCCTTGGGTTCTAGCTGTTCTTCCAACTGGAGAGGCATTGGGAATTCTCGCTGATACAACACGACGCTGTGAGGTGCTGTGACATCTGGATCTCTGACCTTCTGTTGTATGTGAAAGTTAATGTTTTTATATATTTTTCTTTTAATTTATTAACCTACTTTTTGGTTCACTTTTTTGCTCATGAGCAGATTGATCTGAGGAAAGAATCGATGATACAGTTCATTGCTCCATCCTCTTATCCTGTCATTACATTTGGTCCATTTCCCTCACCCCAGGCTGTTTTAATATCTCTATCTCATGCAATTGGTAATTTCCTAAACCATTTAGCATATGCTCATATGGGATGTCCTTCAAATGTTTTGTTGTGACAGATAGATATTTTCTTTTAGTACATTTTGTTCAATTGCCCATATAATTGAACTCAATATCAGTGTCATTGTTGTATTTTTAGACCCTGGTATTTGAGTCAATTTTTAATGCCTTGTGTTAACATTCATAACTGAAATGTGACATCTAATATACATGTAACATAAGATAAAAGAAAATAAATACTAAATTTGATTATAATTGATGAATTCGATTTAAGGATTTCGACAAGAAGACAGGTATGCAGTATGAAAGAAGTTATGTGTTATGTGATTTCTTATGAATTAGAATAACTACAGACTTTTGAATTCAAAAAAGTAGATATTACACATGCTATATGTTTCTTTGCATATAGTGGCACTTGCAGATGTATGTTGCTTACTTGTCAGTGCAGTCACTAGTATATAATGCGGTTCCTGCTCCATCATTCTTAATTTTTTGTTTTAGTATCTGTTTTTATTGTTTATGATTTCCTCACCAGGGACTGTATTTATGCCCCCAAAGTGGTCGTTAGGCTATCATCAATGCCGTTGGAGCTATGACTCTGATAAGAAAGTTCAACAGGTAAGTATTTGATGATTATCTCAAGTTAAAGCTTCTCTCCCTCTGTCTCTGTCTCTGTCTCTCTCTTTCATGCATGATTGTTTTCTCTCACTTTCTCTTGTTCGCTTATATGTTTGGTCAAATACCTATTCAAATAACATGCCATAACATAAGAATGAGCTTGTCAATCAAATAATATAGTACTTGGAACTAGACAGTACATCTTAGTTCTGTAAATTCCTTGCCACTATATAGACAGTACAAATTTCTAAAGCGTTATATGATCTATTGCGATGATCATTGACCAGCTTACATTTGCAGATTACAGGAACATTTCGAGAGAAGGGTATACCTTGTGATGTCGTATGGATGGATATTGATTACATGGATGGTTTTCGTTGTTTCACTTTTGACAAGGTATGTTTTCCCCTAATTGTTCTTAATGGATGAGAATACATTGGTTCTGGTTCCCCATCTTCAGTTCATCAATGAAACCATATACTTCTTTCAGGGGTGAATTGAAGTTTGAGAATCTTGTGTATGTTATTGAGACATTTTATACATGTTTAGGGTTGAAAGTTATTCTCCAAAATTTTTATAGAGATTTACTTTCAAGAGAGTAAAAGGTGTTGTGTGGCTATTCCTTTGAGTGGTTAGGCTAAAAATATGTCTAGAGAACTTAAAACAACAAAGATGTTCTAGGTTTGCTCTCTTCTTCAAGACATGGGTATTTAAGTGGTGCTATTGATGTAGATGTATTGTGAATTAGGTTTCTGTTTCCGTTTATTGTAATCCAGTCTTCCATGAGCATACCAAGCACATTGAAGTAGATTGTGATTTTATTTGTGTTTTTTTTTATGCCAAAACATATTTACACTCCTCATATCAAGTCTTCTGATTGGCTTGGTGATATTTTAACTAAGCCCCACTTATGGCGTTCATTTGTGGAATTTTACTCCATGCTGAGTATCTTTGACTTTTACGTTCTAGATTGAGGTGCGGCGTGAGCAGGCTCATTTTATTTTACTTCCAGAACCTTAGAGAGTATTTTATTGGCTTGTGAGACCCACAACTGGTGTAAACATAAGTGTAACCAGATGTTGTGTAGTTGTAGCAGTACAAACCACACCAGAAATGGATACCCTGCAATAAAAGAAAAAAACAGAATAGAAGATACACAACCACATCTTTTACCTTGTATATTGGCTGAACTTAAGCTTTTGAGTCCATCTTTAGAAATCTGTCATAATTAATCTTTTGATGTTGACTTCAATCTTTGAATGCTATGCAATGAATTACCATTGGGAGAAAGTAATAGGATCAAATTTGGAAGGTCGATAAATGAGTTCTAGGGCAAAGAGATCCAAGGGAAACTTGAATGTGATTTTTCTGGGACAGAGTAATAGGGTCAGGTACAAGCTCTATTTTGCTATTCATTATGCACTGATATACAGTGATGTAGGCATTGTTGGTTCAATCGGCAAAGCACAAGATTGTGCTTTGTCCTACACCTATGCATTTTAATTTTTTTATTGAATGAGGCTAGGAAATTGCAATGGCGCCCCTCATTCTAGAATAAAACTAAACAGTTGGCCAATTTTTGCGTGGTTTGGAGGGAAAGGAACACTAGAACTTTAGGCAGTAAATTTATTACCAGTCAATGTTAGATTGTCGGTGAATGTTTCCTATTATCTATGGGATTGTAGAATGGGAGGTATCTGTTTCTTAAGCCTATTTGGTATTCTCTTAGGGTTCCCTCTATCGGTTTTGCTGTTCCATTTCTTTTATAAAATTGTTGTGTTCCTATAAACACAATGGTTACAAAGGAATTTGGTGATGAAAGAATTGTTCTGTTTCTATAAACACCAAAGGATATTGGGTATCATTCCTAATAAATAAATTCTATTCTGATATCTTTCAGGAGCGTTTTCCAGATCCGAAATCTTTGGTGAAGGGTCTAAACCAAAATGGTTTCAAAGCAATCTGGATGCTTGACCCAGGGATAAAACAGGAAGATGGTTATTTTGTCTATGACAGTGGTTCTAAAAATGATGTCTGGATTTTAAAAGCAGATGGAAGACCATTTGTTGGTACATTTTCTCTATGTAATGGTACCAAAAGTCAAACCTAGTATGTTACTGTGTTAAAATTTTCTCTCCATTTCCAGGCAAGGTGTGGCCCGGGCCTTGTGTTTTTCCAGACTATACACAGGCAAAAGTTCGATCTTGGTGGTCCAATTTAGTGAAAGATTTCACTGTAAATGGTGTTGACGGAATATGGAATGATATGAATGAACCGGCTGTTTTTAAGGTAGTTCGATAATAGTTTATTGGTGCTTGCAAAATTTTTGTCGGTGTTGATTTTATGCTTTTTCCTTTTTCAGACTCTCACAAAAACAATGCCTGAGAGCAATATTCATAAAGGGGATGATGAACTTGGAGGTTGTCAAGTTCACTCACACTATCACAATGTATAATTTACTCAACCTTGCTGCTCTGCTATTCGTTTTACATGATTTTAACAGTTAGTTTAGGTTCCAATCTTGTAAGCATCTTTTGTCTATGGCATATTGGCAGGAACTTGACTGCCTTACTGGTTTGTGAATGCCATTTTGTTTGATTGTTGTATGTATCACTGATACAATGCGAAACTTGTGAACTTCAATTTGTTGAGTTTGCTGCCTGTTAGGTCTATGGCATGCTGATGGCAAGATCAACTTTTGAAGGCATGAAGCTGGGTAGTGAAAAAAATCGTCCTTTTGTTCTCACCAGAGCTGGATTTATTGGTAGCCAAAGGTATGCTGCAACTTGGACAGGAGATAATCTTTCAACCTGGGAGCACCTACATATGAGCATTTCCATGGTTCTTCAATTGGTATGTTACTCTAGTAGCTTGCTGTTTGCCTGAGTTAAAGACGTAGACTTGATTTTATTTTCCTTCCCCGTTCTTATATGGTTGGTTTGTTGTACAAGAAGAACATGTGCACTCTGCATGAAAGATTACTTGTAGCAATTGAGGTGTTATGGAAAAAAATAAAGAAGAAAGCTCGCCTGAAATTGAGGAGCTTTCTTCATTACTTTCTTTGTTAGAAAATGCCACTTTGTTTCCGACTTTCCATTTTGTCTGATTGGAGGAGCTGGATTTGGGATCTTCTCGGGTTTTCTCTTGTAAATCAATTGCAGGAAAGCTGAATGACAACCCATCTCTTTCTTGCTTCCATCTTCTCCTATGATTGGAAGGCTAAAACACCACCTAAGGTAGGCATTCTATCTTGGATTAGTTGGATCGTTGCTCTTGGTAGGGCCAACAGTTGTGATGGGGTTTTACAGGAGGATACCCAATTCCCTTTCTCCCCATTGCTGCATCAAGTGTAGAGGAGAGGGTGAAAGTTCTGATCACTTGTGTGTTCATAACCCAATTGTCTTAAGTTTAGGAGAACGCTGTTTAGGGAGTTGGATTGAGCTGGGTTGCTTCAACATCTTTTATAGCATTATTTTGTGAGATGCACATGGATTTTGGGGGAGGCAATACAGGTGTAGTCTGTTTTTGGGTGGTGTGGCTAGACAGAAATAGAAGGATTTTAGTGTTTAGTCTGTGCTTATGATTAGCTTGGTTAACTGCTCATGGAAATATCAATACTTCTGACATGGCTTGAAAAGTATGGATCATTTGTTGCTGCATTGCCAGTGGCTTTTTCTTTATGTTCTTGTTTACTCAATGAAATTTTTTTATGTTGCTCTATCCTGGTGTCGTATAATGCGTTACTATGTGAGAAGTTTAATTTTTTTTTGGTGGAAATGAAGTAAATTTGTTTTTTTTAGTTAGTTACTCAAAACAACCCAATGTATATATATATATATATATATATATATATCTTTATCCAACTGTACTTTAATAACTGTTTAGTTTGTTTTCAGGGACTTAGTGGTCAGCCACTATCAGGGCCTGATATAGGTGGCTTTGCTGGAAATGCAACACCCAGGCTCTTTGGAAGGTGGATGGGTATAGGTTCTATGTTTCCCTTTTGTCGTGGGCACTCTGAAATCGACACCATTGACCATGAGCCGTGGTCATTTGGGAAAGAGGTTTGTCATGCTTCAGCATTATGAATAACTATTGTGCTTGTTTCCTGAGTTATCCCTTTATTAAATATCGGCTGGTGCTTCTGGTTGAGCCACTTTACCATACATTAGAGTAAGATAACCTTCTTAGAACTCAGATAACTGTTATACATACAGGTCTCCAGCTAAATCTTCTACTCTATTAGTTTTGCTACTTACTTTTTCAGATCTGTGTACTTGGGTAGTGCCCCTATGATCTGAAGTTCTACTAGTTTCTACTTTTAAACGAAGACACTAGAGGACTTAGGTTTTGGATGTATTTTCTAAGCAGCTCCATGTTTCTTCATGTATTTTGGGTTTTCAAGGAAGTTGGAACCATCTGTTTTCTTATAGCAAAGCCTAAAAACGTCTAATGCTTCTTTGGTTCCTACCTATATAGGTCCACAAGCACAAAAGCACAAGGAGACAATCTCTGAAGAGCCTACAATCTTACAATAAAAACCTGAAATTTCTCTCTGCACACCAAACTTCAAAACATTGCAATGGTAAAACTAAAGTTTGGATGCCATTGCAATGTCAAGCCTCTGTTTGTTGGACCCCTAGTTCAACTTTTTTCTGCTTATGTAGAGTGTTGGACCCATTTTGTGTTGACAAGGACACCAAATTTGCACCACATGGAAAATAAATAGGTGACAAACTGTAAAAGACACATGGCCTTTTAAAAATATTTTCGAAATCTAGAAAATTTATAATTGAAAAAATATATATAAATAGAAAAAGTGTTACTCCTCAATGGAGGTGCAGTGTCCCACCTCCCCGCTTCCCATCCCCATCTAGATCTTATCTGAAACGGAACAAGAAAAAGAAAACATCTAAAATCTGCAGAAATAGAGGAAAGAAAAGGAATTTTGAGCAGCAGGACTGAAAATGGAAGAAGGGTTTCGAACAAGAATCATGATTTGTATTAGAGGGTGATTTCTTCCCTACAGACAGGGACCTGCATTTTGGGGTGGATCAGCTGTTATCAGCTTTGGTCGTTTTAGCTGTCATTGATATGTCTAGGTGTTCCTTGAAATTCTGGTACATTTATATGCCTCCTGATTCTTCAGCTCCTTTACCCATCACATGAGAAGTGTAATGATTTTTATGATTGTGTACACGTGAAAGTTTCTTCCTTTGGCTGAGAAGCTCAAGATATTGGGACTAAGTGACAGGAATTTGGGGATGAGGGGTTCAGGAGTAAAGGTTGAAAATTATATGGCTTTTGAATGGTCAGAGCAAAGTGTGGAAATTGGAAAATGTGGGACTGAAATCTCTGGCTGTTGTTAGCACTTGGTAGCTTGATTGACCGACTATCATCCCCAACCCATTATCGTTAATAAGAGCATGGTACTGTTGGGACAGAAAGATACTGTGCTTGGTATTGCAACTTCAATGCCCAAAAAATACCTCAGTGCACCCAAGTCTTTCATTTCAAGTTCTTTTGCTTGATAATTTTGAAGCTATTTTGTTTCGGTATTGTGAGGGTTACCTTAACTTTCGTGCCAAAGTCAATCATCCAGAAAAGGATATGCATTTTATGGTTTTTATACGTTGCAATTTGCTGTTTAATGTTGATGTGCGCTATTGTTCTTTTTAGATTTGGGTCTGCTAATTGTGCCATTAATCAGAACTCATTTCAATTCTATATGTTAGTGTGAAGAAGTATGCCGTTTGGCATTGAACAGACGCTACCGCCTTATACCTCATATATACTCTCTCTTCTATATGGCTCATACGATGGGCACTCCAGTGGCAAGTCCTACTTTTTTTGCTGGTGAGTTTTTTAGCTGTTGAATGGTCTAACTTCTTTTGGACATGATAAGGCTTTGTTACGTGACTAAGTGCATATGTCAAATGCATGTTCAGATCCCAAAGACCACAGCTTAAGGAAATTGGAGAATTCTTTTCTGTTGGGTCCACTTCTAGTCTATTCCAGGTTCACCCTTTCCCTACAAGATAAAGAACCAAATCCTTGTAGATTATGTCTTTTGTGGTTTCTGTAATCTGTACCTTGTGTTTTTAGCGGACAAAGACTGAATTTGACATCACCTTTCGTGAAAAAGGCGGACCATTCCCTGCTTTATATTAACTTATAAATCCATTCTTTTATATAGAAAAGCAATTTTGCAATAACAGATGCCTCATGCTATACGTTATTATGTTCATTTGCTGTTGTGAGAAGTGAAGTGAAGACCTGAGTCTATCAATATTATGGCTAAAGTAATGTTACTTCTGTTACTTCCTTTCTAAATTTAATTGTATGTGATTCTGTCACCCTTGTATTCGGACTTTTTTTCTTCCCACCTCATACTTTGCTTGCATCATTTGGAAATTAAGAATACCATGCAAATTTATAATTGTGCCCCTTGAACCCATTGCAGCATAGAGATCTGTTATGTGCTTTCTAGTTTCATTGAACTCATGGATGGTGTAAAGGAGGTTCAGTTGAAATGTTTATTTGTATCTGATCCTTGCATTTTATTCTGACATCCTATTTGTCATGTTCAGCACTTTGCCTGGTCAGGGGATGGATACTTTGCAGTGCACATTGCCCAAAGGAATTTGGTTGAGTTTTGATTTTGAGGATTCACATCCTGTATGTATGACTGTACATATTGATATGCTTTGCTTTTCAATTTTTTCTGCTCATGTTAATACTTTCCACTCATTTCTTTTCTTCTTTTTTTTCTCACTTGTTTCTGGTTATTGCAGGATTTACCAGCTTTATATTTGCAAGGAGGAACAATTATTCCTGTGGGTCCTCCTCATCAGCATGTTGGTGAATCTAATATATTTGATGACTTGACACTTGTTGTTGCTTTGGATGAACATGGTAGTTATGATTCTGTCAATTTCTTTAACAAATAATTGGATTGTTTGGTTGTAAAATCAACAGTTTCAAGTTTTGGGTGGTCATGTACAACTTAAGGTCAAATGCGTGATTATTGATGTAGATTTTAAATTAACGTAATTAAATACATTGAATTAAACCAAATCATACTTGGAAGTGTACGGATCTATTACAATAGAGATAAGAAATTACGAGGTCGAACCCACAAAAAATTATTAAGACAACCTATTGCTTAACTAGTTCAACAAAAGTGTATTTGATTTTGGATAACAATTATATTAATTAGAACAATTATTTATAAATAAAATGATAACTTCAATTGGAAGTAGCACTAAGGCATTGATAATATGAAGATGGGCCTATATTCTGCATCATATTGCTTAGTGGGTGGTGGATTGATTGGGTTATGGTGTTTCGGTTCTTGTTTTAGGTGTCTGATGGATGCTTGTCCATGTTTCTTGCAGTTCCTCTAGTTTTATTTTCTTCAATAAACGTTTTATCAAGGGAAGAAAAGGAAAAGGACAATTAGGTTTTTCCAATTTTTATAGGCTATAAAATTAGAAGTTATAAAGATTTATCAACTCTCTTTATTCACAGGGAAAGCTAAAGGTGTTCTATATGAAGATGATGGTGATGGATATGAATTCATGAAAGGTGGATTCTTGTTGACACACTATGTTGCTGAACTTCAATCTTCTATTGTTACTGTCAAAGTTTCAAAAACTGAAGGATCTTGGAAGAGGCCACAACGTCGCCTGCATGTGCAATTATTGCTTGGTGGAGGTGCAATGGTATGGCTTATTTTCTTTAGGGATAACAATCCAGTGTCTGAGACTAAGCCAATGCTAATAAAGTACCATATTTAATCCTGAATCCTTCAAACAGGTTGATACATGGGGCAAAGATGGAGAGGTTCTTCAAATTTTAATGCCTTCAGAACAGGAAGTTGTGAAGCTGGTTTCTACCAGTGAGAAGCAGTACAGATCTCGTTTGGGTATAATTCTTTTATGCCATATACTGGCTCATATTTTCCTCAGTGTGTACCTAAAATATTTTCCTCAGTACAGATCTCTACGTAATTCTCGATAAATGTTACCTTTTCTGAAACCCTCTAAATAGATTGCATGAATCAGGCCTCAATAAAACCATCTGGATTTCATAACCCCAGGCTGTTTTCTTTTTAAAAAAAAAATTGTGTTTATACATCTTATGTAGGTGAGTTTGCATTTTTCTGTAAATTCAAATTGCAACATGTGTTTATGAATTTATGAGATTTTAAGGATTAATATTTCTTGTTTATGTTGATAAAAGGCTTTGATAATGAATCTCTCTGATTCTTGCAGGATGTTCTAGTCAATATCTCTTCTTTACTCTTTTGTGGTCTCTTTTTTTTTTCGGTGGGTGGGGGGTGCTTTTGGGGTATTAACTTAACATGTCTCTAAGCGAGTTTTTGTAGCGTTCCACTTTTATATAGGATTTAGTGTTTTCACATGTTTCATTTATAAAGAGAAGTAAGATGCTAATATATTTATATGTACACAATCAGCAACCAGTGCATAATAGTATATATACATGCGAACATCTTCCCTGAGACCACTCTGCATTGTAATTCAATAATCAGAATCATCTATTCTTTAGGTCGCTCCTGGTGAAAAATTGGTCAAATCGGTAACTGTTTTGTCATCTAAACTGGGCAGACAAAACAATAGGATGTTCACATATAAGTATATTGGCGAACATCCTCACTTGAAAATTCTCTTATGTATTAGTGACAGTGCCCCTATTAAATTGTTAATGTAGAAAATGCCAAGGCTATTCCAGACGTAGAAGTGACTTCTGCACACAAAGGAATAGAACTCTCAAGGACTCCTGTTGAACTGAAAGGTGGTGATTGGTTTGTTAAAGTAGTTCCCTGGATTGGTGGTAGAATAATTTCCATGATGCACCTTCCTTCAGGTAGTACTTTGAAGATTATTTTCCTTTCATTATTATATATTTATAATGTATATAGTTTCTATGACCTCCGTTGTGCCATTTACCCTTCTCCTTCGTTTGGTGTATGTCTGGATATGTAGTAAACAATCTCTGCTTGCTAAGTTGGTTTAATTGATGAATCAGTATCATTGTCCAAGATGGGTGTGAAATTTTGAAAAGTAGCCAAATTTTGGACATGTTAAAGATTTTTAGCTCATTTTCTTGGACTTAAAGAATTTTAACCACTGAAGAGGTTTGGAGCACTGGTCGAGAGGGCTTGATCATGACTCGAGGGGACCTCAAGCAGCTATATTTTGAAATCTTGAAAAAGAGGATAAAATTCATTAAATTGTTGAAAAGAATGTTTTCCGAATTTCCCAAGATTGATGTGCTCGGTGTGGACATCACACTTCATCCTCACTATACTTCTGAAAAGTTCTTCCTTTTCTTTCCAACCATATTACCCACAAACCACCTAGCACTGCACAATTACACAAAACTCTAGCCTTTCTTCCACGGATGAAAGACATACAATTTTGACAAAGAATGTTTAAGAGTGAATGAGGAATAATCCATTAACCCCTGCTACCTCAACCAACCACCACCATAGCCCAAAGCATATGGACATTGTTAGAGCGAGTTCCAGATTCTGCCTCTTTTTTCCCCACAAGATTCACCAATGAGGAGGCAGACACATTGGATTTTCTTCTTTGTACCAAATTGCAAGTGTTTTCTTGGGAGGAACAGTAGACTTCCAAATAATTGTAGTAGGCTGGAACACAGAAAGGGATTAATTATCAAATAGAAAACTTTAACAAAGATAAAACCGCTGATGAATCCAGTTTCCATTTCCACCTATCTGGACTACGTGCTGAAACCCGAATATTCTCCAAAACTACCAAAGTGCAGCAAACTCCTCAATCTCTTGTTCATGTAAATTTCTTTGGAATAAAATTTCAATTTACTTGACCTGCATGAACCTCTGCCAATAAGCCACCCTACAATGTAACCCCTAGACTGCCTGAAAAGACGAGGAAATTTTAAGCATGAAGGATAGACATGAAGTGATAAACATTAAAATGATGGATAAAGTCCAGTCTCTGCCACAAAAATTTTAGTTTTGATAATGACTGAGATTTTACACTACCATGAGTCTATTCCATTACGAATAATTAGTTGAGGAACTCCAAGGACAGAAACATGATAAACTAGGTACAAACTTTCCAAATTATGATTTTGTTGCACGAATTGATGTTTTTGTCAAGATGATGAAAAATAAGGGTTGTAACCCTACATCACTTCAGGATTCTCTCTATAGTTGATACTTATATGCGGTTATTGTTGCAGGGACACAGTGGCTTCACAGTAGGGTTGAGGTTAATGGGTATGAAGAGTATAGTGGTACTGAGTACCGCTCTGCTGGATGTACTGAGGAATACAATGTTACAGAGTGAGTTTTGGAATAAATATTGGGGTTTTCCTTATGAGACCAAATTCTGATGTCATTACGATCCTTAGTTTCCCAAAAATATTCCCGTAGTCAAACTAGAAAGTATTCTTTTATACAATCCTTGGTGTCAAGATTTTTAACTATCTAATAAAATTTCAACGAGTAGAACTTTAACATATTCCAAACTAAAATTGCACAAGAGTGACACCCCAAATTACTTCATAGTATAGATTAGATGTGAAAAGCAGGTGATATTTTTCAGCTATCCTATCACTATATGTCTTCAATATATTCTTCTAGCTATGAGGTTCTGTCCTTAAACCTTCTAAACTTTAAACATAAGTTGTATGTTTTATTTTATTTTAAGACCATGTTAATGTATTGTATCTCAAAGAGCCACCACCCTTTGTAGAGCTGCTTTATAGTTCCCATCAATTAATACTTTTCTATTTTAGTTGCAAAGTATGTGAACTTTTTAGCCATGTTGTAGTTCAAATATGAAGGATCATTTTTTCCTGGTTGAGTTAAAATAAATGGAGTAAATGGATACATTTGTATGTGTGTGTGTATGTATGTTTAATGGGCATTATGATAGTTCATGTATTATTATCTGAAACGTCAATGCAGGCGGAATCTTGAGCATGCTGGAGAGCAGGAATGTCTTTTGTTAGAAGGTGATATTGGGGGTGGTTTGGTTCTCCAGCGACAGATATATATTGCAAAGAATGATCCCAAGGTTTTCCGAATCGACTCTAGCATTATAGCACGCAAAGTTGGTGCTGGTTCTGGTGGATTTTCAAGGTTTGCTCCAACAAATCCCCCTCCTCTCCCTTTTGTTCTCTCTATACACACACACATATAGATAACATATAGATATTATATATATATATTTAAACATATATAACCAAAATGTATAAATGTTTGACTACTAAATTAGAAACAAAATGTGAATTTCTTACTATGACTAAATGGAGGAGTTCACAAGTTGCTCCCCTCTCTTACTTTTATTTCAAATAATCTCAGACATTCGTGACTTTCTGTTAACTTGCAGTTTAAATCCTTGTTTTTCCTTTAACTTCAAATGTTGACATAGAAAATCTTTGGATGGATTTGAATTCTGATTTTCACTTTGTGTGCCTTTATTTTTTTTTCTTTCCGTAAATATCATTTCCTTTGTGCATAATTTTGTCTGTTTTTGTTTTCTCTTTGCAGGCTGGTCTGCCTGAGAGTACATCCAATGTTCACCCTCTTGCACCCCACAGAATCATATGTATCATTTACAGCCATTGACGGGTCAAAGCATGAAATTTGGCCTGAATCTGAGGAGCAGTTCTATGAAGGGAATTTATTGCCTAATGGTAATGCTATCTATCTTTCAATGTCTTACATTCATTACAATGAGACATTGGAACTTTATTATCCTGCTCAAAATGTGGAACTATACCTCACTTTGAATGTCACGAAAATGTTCAGGAAATTGCTTAGATTTCTTTCTATTTCCTCCTATTTTCTTTGTCATTACATCCATAAAAAGAAATCAATTTTTCAAAAAATTTAGTTCACTCTTGAAAATGGTTATATTTGATCAAGCTTTTCTTTCATTATGATTTTTGCAACAGGTGAATGGATGCTGATTGATAAATGTCTTGGGTTGGGGCTACTGAATCGGTTTGATGTTAGCCAGGTTTACAAATGCCTAATCCACTGGGGAACCGGTACTGTTAATTTGGAGCTGTGGTCTGAGGAAAGGCCTGTTTCAAAGCAGTCGCCTCTCAGAGTCGCCCATGAGTACGAGGTCATCACAATCCTGTAAAAAAAGAGTGGTACTTTAATTTCACTGTCGTATAATCGTATTTACCAACCAAAAAAGGGATCTTAAAGTCATAGAAGTTGAGATATTGTATAACACTGCTAAGTGTGGCATTGTGAACGTGAGAAATGTTTTATGCACTACAATTTTACATAAGACTTGAGATTGTGAAACAAAAACTAGGGCCTCAGATTTGCATTTTTTTGGTTTTCAATAAGCACCATGTTTCTCATTTACTCCACCGTGGCAAGGTTTTAATGAGGCCGCTTCTTGTTGCATCCATGCTTTTGTCTGCAAATTGTATGTTTTTTGGTTGGAATGGAAGTTTCTAACTCTTTGATAATAAAAAAAAACAGCAGTATCCCTAAAAAAAATTACAAAGTTTTTTCTAGAAATAAAAACCTCATTTATCTTGTGCCATGCTTGTCCAAGGCCCAAAGCAATTAAACAACCCAATTGGATTTGGATTTGGCTGACATGAACAAGATTGAAGCTTTTTGCGTTATACTGGCACTTGTATTTTTACACCATCTATATATAGCTAGCCCAAACCAAACCCTTGTAGGTTAGAAGTGGGAGCTTTTTGTAAAAACTATACTTTTTAGGAAAAATAAATAAAAAATGTAAGTATCAAAACCAAGAAATCAATTTCCATTCTTGTTGGTGATGCTTTTTTTCATTTTGATATGAGAAACAGCTGACTCATAATGCTTCATGTACTTTGCTAACTTTATTACAATCTAAGGTTTTGGTTCTCTATATAAACCCCCAACCCACCACCTTCACTCTCACCCCTCATCCCACTCTTATCATTAATTTCATTCCATCATGAATTATGCTATATCGAAGCTCTTGAAATCCAACGTGATTCCAACATTCTACTCCAGTATATTATGGAGGATTGTTTAGGAGACTACAATTGTGAGTTGTCGGAGCCAGGGATCTGAAGGGTAGAAGAAGGGCATTTAGCCAAATTCGTAAGGCTACCGGCATGAGATATCAATCGAGCTCCAACTACCACACCAATTAAGGAGGCCAAAATGGGTGCAATATCATTCATTTTAGTAACTAGGAAATCACAAATGCCTTTCCTGTAATCAGATAGACCCGCCAACCTCTCTGCAAATTGCTGAACAATATCCAAGTCAGCTAGAGAAAAATCCTGCCCTGTGAACAATAAAAAGAGCCCAGAAAGTAACAATAAGAATAACGAATATATAATAAAGAAATGAATGAATGACAGGCAATGCATTACGGAATCTTACCCATGGATGCTTTGGCAGCTTCAATAATCTCCTTTGCCTTATCTTCATCCCCAACAATATCAGTTAAATCTGGAAGTCTGTCTTCGGACAATCTTGACTTGTCTTCAATACTTTTTGCCACTTTAGCATAGCGATAATTGTCAGTGACACTTTTTCCCAGTTCAGGAAAATGCCAAGAGTACCATTCTCTGAGGAGAAAATTTTAAAAAAACTCATAACAATCAACAAGCACTTCCAGAAGATGCAGCTGGTTAACTGTTTTATATATATATATATATATAAGATGTGTGTGTCAATGCCAGTGTCATACCTGAATCTCCTTAATTGATAACCTTATCTAGAATGGAGATTGCTTGAATCACCGTATTGTCAACTCGGTCAGGATTAAACTTGACCTTGCCCCATGCTGTAACTGCTGCCGAGACCAAGTCTCGGGCTTTTTCCAAGTCCACAGGCTGAAAAAGAGAAAGAAGAAGCAAAAGAAAGGATAATGTCATTATATCTTAAACCCACAAAACAAGAAACCCAAAACAAAAACTAGTAGACATTTATAATGATAATAAATAAATAAAATGTAGGATGTGAATACAGCAAAATTTCAAACCTTTAGGTCCTTGATAAACCCTATCAAAATGCAGCTGCACTCCACGAAGCAGCTCATGAACAAACTCATTACTTTGGCAAGGAATTTTAGTCACTTGAAAGATGTGAGAACCAATCTTATGTTCAGCCACTCCCAAACTGAACTTTGGCTTCTTACCTTCCTTGACTTTTGGGAGATTAAGTTCCAAAAAGTTCCTCAACTCATCAGTCATACACCCTGAAATTCAACCATACAGACCCTTAATTTGTATTGACCACTTTGCAAACAAAAAATAATCATTGAAATACGCCAACCAACTAAAGATGCAGTGCAAAAGTATACTTGTTCTACCGTAGATTTAAGGGAATATTAAACCATTTGAGAATAAAAATATGCGAAATGGGATACTGCATCAAGTTATGGGGATAAAAGTGGGGCAGGGAAAGAAAGTTCCAATATTCAAGGAGGACTAACATAGTGTTTCTTCAAGTATAATTTATAAAGCAATTTTCAAGCAAAAATACCACACATTAGTAATGTTAGAAGCAGCAGACAGTTTCTAGGGATATATTATTCCCAAATTCTCTCTCTCTCTCTCTCTCTCTCTCTCTCTCTCTCTCTCTCTCTCTCTCCAATGAAACCTGACAACTAAGACAATAAAATAAAGGAAAAAACGTAAAACAGCAAGCTTTAGCCTTTAGTTATTTCCCTACCTTCAGAGACTGCGACGCATTGGCTATAGTCATCAAGGGCCGACTGAAATGGGCAAAAAGATGTGAGCTTGACCACCTTCGCAAACCGGTTCAGGTCTGAAATGGAGTCCCGAACTGCATCCGTATTCTGCCCGATCTGATCGAGCCCGTGAGCCAGGAATAGCTCCTTCACAGGGCAAAAACCGCCGTGGAATCGAATATATGGAGCTCTCAAGAGAAAACGCAGTCGTGTAAAAAATCATCAACTCTCTCTCTCTCTTAATCCATTAACTGAAAGAATGGTTTGTACAAACTTTATATTAAAGTACAATGATGAGCTGTCAAATACAGCTGTATAAGGGTAACATGGTATTCAGAGTAACAGCCAGAACTCAATAAGACCGTACGTACCGTATGAAAACTCAATAACCAGGTGTATAAGAGTAACATGTTTGATTTGATGGATTGATTGATCGTCTCGGGAAACAGATGACAAGAAACCGTCCTCTCCCTGTGAAAACGTTAAAACATGTTTCACAGAGAATCCAAATAGTTTGCAGTTGTTAGGGATGGCCCTGTGAAAATTTTAAAACCGTCCTCCCCCATGTTAGGTCAGTGCATGTTTAGTCTTTTCTTGTCTTTGGCTTCGGCCTTCCCTGTAACCAAAAAAAGAAAAAAAGGACACCATTGTCTTTGGCTGGCACTCTGAAATGGACACCACTGACCATGAGCGGTGGTCGTTCGGGGAAGAGGTTTGTCATGCTTCTGCATTGTGAATAACTTTTGTGGTTGTTCCTGAATTTTCCCTTTATTAAATATTGGCTGTTGCTTCTGGTTGAGCCACTGTACCATAAATTGGAGTAAGATAACCTTCTTAGAACGCAGATAACTGTTATACATACAGGTCTCCAGCTACATCTTCTACTCTATTAGTTTTGCTACTTACTTTTTCAGATCTGTGTACTTTGGTAGTGGCCCTATGATCTGAATTTCCACTAGTTTTCTACTTATAAAAGAAAACACTAGAGGACCTAGGTTTTGGATGTATTTTCTAAGCAGCTCCATGTTTTCTTTATGTATTTTGGGTTTTCAAGGAAAGTTGGAACCATATATTTTCTTAAAGCAAAGCCTAAAATTGTCTAATGCTTCTTTGGTTGCTACCTATACCCATTATTGTTATTATTATAATTTGTATTAGAGGGGTTTCGATCAAGAATCATGTTTGTATTAGAGGGTGATTTCTTCCCTTCAGATGGACCTGCATTCACCCTTATCAGCTTTGCTCCTTTTAGCATTCATTGATATTTCTAAGAGGTCCTTGGAATTGTGGGACATTTATATGCCTCCTGATTCTTCAGCTCCTTTACCCACCATATGACAAGTTTAATGATTTTTGTGATTGTGATTGTGCACGTGAAAGTTTCTTCCTTTGGCTGAGAAGCTCTGAGATATTGGGACAAAGTGACAGCGGGATTTGGGGATGGTACCTGTTGAGAAGACACTTCTATGGTACCTGTTGAGAAGACAAACCTTTGTTGAGGAGACAAAAGCTTTCTCATTTATTGTACTTTTCATATTCCAAAATTTATCTAGGGATGTGGTGCCACTGATAAATTGTCTCAGTGTGGCTGTACTGTGAGTAAAATTAAAAACATTCTAGTTTTATGTTGCTCAACCTGATGCAATATTGTTTGAGATTTTATGTTGAAGCACTAATATGACTGAATCATTGCAGAAATGTATAAATATATCTAACTAATATTTCTAGATTGTGCCTTTTTTTTAATTTTTTATAAATATATTTTGCACAAGATACACCAATGAGCCAACCTACAATTCACTTAACCAGCATGAACCTCTGCCAATGAGCCAACCTACAATTTTGACCCCCAGTCAGCCCGAAAAGAGTAGGAAATTTTAAGCACAAAGGACAGACACGAAGTGATAAACATTAAAGTGGTGGATAAAGTCCAGTTGAAGGAAGTGATGACTAGAGCTCCCGTGCTTGCTCTGCTAGATTTCTCAAAGAACTTTATTATTGAATGTGATGCCAGTGGATCCGGAGCATTTTTAATGGTATTTCTTGTACCTTCCATTTATTCTCTGAAATGGTAGACTGAACCAATATTTTGTATCTTGGTCAAGTATGCATGCAATTGCATCTTATGTTGTGTGGTTAGTAGGCATGTGTTGTTGAACTCTCATCTTTGACCCTGAATATTTTGTATCTTGGTAAATAATGAAGGTAAGTAATAATACAAGCCGTTGTATACATATATTCATACATATATATTACCTACTAACCACAGACAGAGCCTCAATAGTGCCCGTTGAGGAGACAGAACCTCTGTAGGGTCCTCAGATTTAACTCCACCGTGAGTGGCTTTCTAGGCTCTGTTTTTTATTAATTAATGACCACAGCCTTATAGTACAGAAGTACCTGTTGTTGAGGCCATTGATAAGACAGGCTCATCACATGCATGTTTACATTTGTCTTTACCTGTTGAGAAGACAAAGCCTTCAGTACTCATTGAGAAGACAAAGCCTTCTAGTACTCTATATAACCTCCCCAACCCACCGGCTTCACTCTCACCCCTCACCTCGACTTCCCCCTCTGCTTCCAGATCAAAACTCTCTCTCTCTCTCTCTCTCTCTCTCTCTCTCTCTCTTCAGTAAGCACAAAACCGAAACCAAGTCTCCTCCTCCCTACCCCTTAATTAGCAAATTCCACACAACACCTCAAAACTCTCAACCATCATCATCTTGCCTAACGATCAACTTGAGGTACATAATTTATACGTTTCAATAGATGAATTCTTTTTCTTTCATTTTTGACAGTTCCTGCTACTAAAAGGAATATTGATGTTGTATTTTGCAGATGAAGGCCATGAAAAAGAAAAAGAAAAAAAAGAGGCATGATATAGTGGGTTAGCAGAAAGTTGGAATGGGTGGAATCGGTAAGAAGAGGTATAAATTTCTACATCTCTCGTTTGTTGCATTGTGACATTACACTTTTGGAATATATGTTTTTATCCATTTTAGCCTAAATTATGTGTTTTATCCATTTTAGCCATCATACAATGATAGGCCCTTGCAAATTAAAAACCCCAGACATTAACCCGCCTAAATTAAAACTTGGGAGTTTCACTAAAACACCCAAAATGGAGGTTGAAATTATAAAAAAACCCAACACCCAAAACACTTTATAAACACACCCAAAACCCATCATTACACACACTCAAAACCCATTTATAAACACACCCAAAAAGTTGACTTTGAGGTTGATTTTGGGTGTGTTTCTATGTTTAAATAATGCTTGGGTTTTTTTATAAATACATGTCTAGGATTGGGTTTATTTATAAATTTGTATTAAAACTTCTACATAAAATCCAATTTTGAAATATATAATGTACCTATAAATATACTCAAATCAAGAAAAAATAATTTTCCTTTTGCTCTTTGTAATACTTTATTTCCACGCCAAAAAAAATATATTATAGAGTAAGTTATATATATATATATATATATATATATATAACATAGGTACACTATTTATAAAATTATAAAGAGGTACATTATTTATAAAATAAAAAAGGTACATTACTTATTTACAAAAAATAGGTACATTATTTATACAGAAAAAGGAAAATTACTTATTTACAAAATATATATAGGTACATTATTTATATATAAAAAATAGGTAAATCATTTTTTTTATTTTTAAAAGGCACATTTTTAAAATAAAAAAATAAGTACATTATTTATTGAAAAGATAGGTACATATATTAAGTAATATAGACGTTATACATGTATATAATACTAATTTACCTAATAGTCAAGTTACTTCATAGGCACACGTATCAAATATCACAAATCTACAACATAAGGAAAGTTAACTCGATCATAAAACAAAACGGAGGAAAGGTGACAGAAATTATAAAAACATAGAAAAAAAAATCAATTGAGGTAGTAGATAACCTCATTAATGGAGACATATATAACGTTTAGCACTTCTAATCCTGCCTTGAATAGATAAAGGGATAATTAGGGGTATTTTTGGAATCTAAAAAATATAATAAATCCTATCTTAAGTTTGATTATGTAACTAGCTGATTTGGATCAAGTCATCGGGTTTACATATGAAAATTGAGTTTTAGAGCCAATTTGGATTAATCTGTTGTTTGAGATCAATAAGAAATATCATTTCTTGATTGCTTCCAACCTCAACAATGTCCATTGATGTTAATGCCTCTATAACAATTATGTCAATTTAATTAAATTAAAGGGAATTTCACTAAAACACCCAAAATGGGAGCTGAAATTATAAAAAAACCCAACACCCAAAACCCATCATTACATACACTCAAAACCCATTTATAAACACACCCAAAAAATATACAATTGTTGATTTTGGGTGTGTTTCTATGTTTAAATAGTGCTTGGGTTTTTTTATAAATACATGTCTAGGATTGGGTTTATTTATAAATTTGTATAAATTAAAAGCATATTAAATTGCTAAATTTTCTCAGGCGAAAGCATGGTAGAGGTGAAAAGTTGATTATCCAATGTGCTCTTGCATGATGCATAAGTTTAGGCAAAGTGTTGAGGAATGTCCTTTGATGGAGTATGTTGATTTCCAATGCAGTGGTTCAAACCCACTCTTTTTGCCACATGTTGCATGACATGAATATCACCAGGCAAGTCAATCTATATAGCCACACGACTATTTCATCGAGTTGAACACTTCAAGGCAATTGCTACTATAACATCATTGATGTTATAGATGTGCAAGTTGATATTCCTACCTGCCGCCTTGTTAAAATGCATAGCATTAACCATGCCAGAAACTGTGTTCATCAAGACCTCCGACAACTCACGATTGTAGTCTCCCAAACTATCCTCCGTAATATACTAGAGTAGAGTGTTGGAGTCACGTTGGAGTCCGAGAGCTTCAAATAATATATAGTATAATTCATGATGAAATGGAATTAATGATAAGGGTGGGATGAGGGGTGAGAGTGAAGGTGATGGGTTGGGGAGTTTATATAGAGAAGCCAATATTTTGCAATAGAACACTTGTTTGCAAGATAACGAGCCATTCATCCCTTGTTCCGCGCAGATGCTCGACCAATAAAAGATGAATGGAATATCAGTCCATATTTGGGTGTGTTTCCCCTGGTTTTTAATGCCCTGCAAATTGATTGATAAGAACAAATGAGTATATTTTTTCTTTCGTTTAGTTTTCTTAATTTTGTCATACTGATTATGTCAAAAAAAAATACAAATAAAAATTGTCATACTGATCAACAAACTTTCATGTGGAAAATGCCAAGAGTACCATTCTCTGAGGAGAAAGTTTAAAAGAAGAATAAGCACGAATATCATTTCTATGCTCTGTTTTATTCCCAAAAAAAATAAAAAATAAAAAATAAAAATCATCACAATCAACAAGCTCTTCCAGAAGATGCTGCCGAGACCAAGTCGGGCTTTGTCCAAGTCCACAGGCTAAATATATGCGAAATGGGATACTGTATCAAGTTTTGGGGATAAAAGTGGGGCAGGGGAAGAATTTATTTGCAGGCTCTGATTATTTATTCAAAACCATGGAAAAATCTAGCCAGAGTTTAGCCTACCAAACACGATTAGGTAGCAAATTCAAACTTTCAGATATTAAAAATAAATTAAAAATAAATAAAAATTCCAATATTCAAGCAGGACTAACATTAGCTAGTAATGCAATTGCAAGCAACCAAGTAAAACCCAAGAAATAAAACTGCACATTAGTAATGTTAAGAGTATTATTTTATGAATACAAACACAAGTGCAAAAGTTCAACACTTTAAAAATTAATAACATGGTAAATCAATACATTTAGACAGTTGGATTCTCTTTGAAGAATCGATGGCGTCCGCTCCTTGGCGTTGGCATCTCAAGTATTGAGGTTCAAACAAAGGGAAAAAGTTAAGAGAAATTGAGAGAAAGGCAGCCTTCACGCGAGTGGCTTTCCGTTGAAGGGAAATAATAATAGAAGCCGTACGTTGAGAAGACAGGGCCTTATACTAGTACCTGTTGAGGCCGTTGAGAAGACAGAGGCTCTATTGTACCAGACATCACACGCATGCTTTACTCTTCTTGTTCTTCTGTTTGGCTGTTGCTCCATCCTCATCAAGATGGTCACCTTTGCTATGAGGAGACAAAGCCTTATAGTACCGTTGAGGAGACAAAGCCTTCTAGTAAGTAGTGGAGAGCTTTGGCTAGCATATGGAGATGAGCATATGAGAGCGACATGAAGCCATTAACATGGGCGAAGGATTTGAGATGCTATCAGAAAGGTTCATGCATTTGATGTTGATATGAGAAATAGCTGACTCATAATGTTTCGTATACTTTGCTAGCTTTATTACAATCCAAGGCCTGAGATAGATAGAAAGCACGCTGGACAACCTCTAATGCTTACATTGTTGTAAATATTCCATTGGTCCATTTGAAGTTGTATTTATATAGAGCACTGTACTCACCAATAATATCAAGAAACAGAGCATTATTCTCTGCATTTCAAACTGTTATCAAAATTATAGTTTTTCCTTTTTCGTAAAATTAAAAACAAAACCCTTTATAATATAAATAATATATAAAATAAATTTGAAGGATAATAGGTAAAAAAAGGTAAAATAAATTAAGATTATGAAAGCAAGCATGGTATGGTGAAGCACGTCAAAGACGTTGTCTTAAAGTCTTTGTAGCCTTCCTACGTGCAGGTGTAGATGGTCTACAAAACTTCAAGATATGACCCCCAATACAAAATTTTGTCAAGTAAATAAAAACCTCCTTTCTCTTGTGCCATGCTTGTCCAGGGCTCAAAGCAATTGGATTTGGCTGTCACCATCTATATATAGCTAACCCAAATCAAACCCTGGTAGATTAGAAGTGGAAATTTTTTTGTAAAAACTGTACTTTTTAGAAGAAGAAAAAAAAGTATCAAAACCAAGAAATCGATTTCCATAGTGTGTACAATGAAGTTATAGTAGACAAAGCGCAGGTTTATTTAGCACCTGCAGTAGTATTACCCATCTGATCTCTAATAGTATCACTTGACCCAAAAATTTAAATAGAAGGTATCATGATCACTTGTTGTCAGGCGGTTTCTGGCAATCGGTGCGGGTTGGGTCGGTTGTCCAGCCCTAGTGGTAACCAATCGGAGCCGGAGATTCTTTCAGTTGGTGGCCATGATAGTGTATGTCCTGCAAAATTGAAATCAACTAATTAATTAATAACATATAGGGCCTAATTGAGTTTTAATAAGCTGTAAATTAAATGATAGTAGCTTGCTACCGAGGCAAAGTGATTGACATCTCGATGATGTGCCTCATCTGCCCTAACAACCGTGACAACATCTCTCAACGTAGAGTTAGGTGGGAGCTGCCAATAATCAATAGCAATGGCTGGAGCTGGCACATTCTCTATGTTCCCTTTGTCCAACTCCTTGAGGAACTCAGTGTAGGAGTGGATTGCTTCCTCCTCAAGGTACCCGACCATTCGATGAGCGAATTTAGGGGAGAGCAGATACCCCAACATGTAAGCATTGAAGAAGACACCTTGAACCGTGACAACTAAGGCACGCTCGTACCACTTGGGCTTGGCTACTTCCATGAAGGTCATGAGGTGCATTCGCTCGTTCTCCGCTTCTTCCAGCAGGGCTTTGATCCACCCTCCGCTGTGCTCGAACCGCCTCAGGGACTTGCAGTGCAGCAGCATCCCTCCTACCATCCCAGGCACCGCTGCCACAGTTTCCAGCATCATTGCTCGGCACCCATACCTTCTCTGATCACCACCAACTTTCATGTTACAACAATTTCTTTTTTTCAAGAAATAACATTAACTATTATTATTATTATCATTTATTAATTAACAAACAAAAAAAAAAAAAAAAAAAGTAAAAAAAATGATGGATTTTTCCGAAGTGAAAAGAGTGTTTTAGTATATGATACGGTTTTCTAAATTAGATCATTCACCAAATATGTTTTTATTATTGATTCAAATTTGACCCGATTATGAGGCTTATTTACATCCAAGTCCAACTAGTAATAACATATATAAATATAGTGATTCTGAACAATGAAAATTTTATTAAAATATATAAATATAGTCGAATAAATAAAATTTAATTAATTATGTGATATATATACCTGGAAGAAAAGATCAGTAGGCCATCGGAGAGACTTGACGGTCCAGTAAGCCATTTTGTCCAAGAAAGTCGTTGGCACGTGATGCTTATTCAGATCTATCGAGACGTCGGCTTTGTACGTCTCCCATGGCTTCAAATTCATATTTCACAAAACCAAATTTCAGCAAAATTCACATTAAAAAAAAAAAATTTAAAAAGGTGGAAAAACTTTTTTTGTCATTGAATTTTATACGAAAAATTCAATTTGATCCCTGCAAATTTTAAGCTCTATCGGCCAATTTTTATTTTTATTTTTTCTAATGACCAAATTGAAATTTCACACAAAATTCGATGAGGAAAAAAGTTTTAAACCCTAGAAAAAAGACAAAAACACGGTTTCTGTTTGGGAGATAAATAAAGAAAAAGGTAACATACTCTAAAGCAAGTCCATTTCCATTGGGTGCCATCTTCCTTGGTAAGCTTGGTGGGCCCCACGCCCCAATAACTGGCAATCCCTTTCTCATCCTTATTGCCGGAACCGTTATCAACGGAACGCTGGGAGCCATGATCTGCTGCATGCTGTTTCTTCTCTTCCTCGTAGTCGTCCTTGCCACCCAGGGCCACGGTGCCAGCACTCCGGGCCCCACAATCCATCTGAACCCAGTAAACGGCGCCGCTTTTCGTCCACGTAGGAACACCCATCCTCGTAGACTGTTTGGCGGCTGCTGCTGCTGCTCCGGTGCCGCTACAAGCAGTAGTTGTTGCGCTGGAGAAGAGGCGTATTGTGCCTCCTGCGACGCCCGCCATGGATTTCGCCACGTATCTTCGACTCACCAGCATCATGGTCATGATCGGTATAGAGAGAGAGAGAGAGAGAGAGAGAGAGAGAGAGAGGGTTTGTTTGTTTGATTGTTTTCTGTTGTGTCTGGACTTTTTTAGGGTTTAGGGTTTTTCAGGACGAGGTGAAGTCGGTGTATGAGGAGGGGTTTAAAAGAGTCGGCGTGGACTTTTAAATACCGACTTATTTATTTAATGAAGGTTTGGGAAAGACCGATTGCAATTCGCCTACTCAAACTCAAATCATGCGAGTTTGGTGACACTGAACGTATGGCTCTTATTTTGACACGTTCCCTCTCATAAACAGAAAAACGTTCTTCCATTTTTACCCTTCTTTTTTCCTCATATATACAATTACAATGTGTGAGGAGAACAATTGACATGATGAGTCTTTTTGTAATTAAGCTCCCCAAGTGGATTACAATATACGTTACGGCCTTTTTGGTATTCTAGAATTTTCGTGGGCAGCAAGTATGCTGAGGTTGCGTGGGATTCAAGGTCGGCGATGATCCACATAAAAATGAGGACATGTGAGTTTGGTATCAATTATATATAGTTGCCAAATTGGCTTTTTCTACTGTCCATATATTCGCTTCATCGCATTCACAGATTAATGGCATTGGCTAGTAGTATGTCGTGGAGACAAAGCAAGCAACCAAATCCTTCTTTTTAGGGAGACTTATAAATAAACCTAAAATGGGTACAATATTTATAAAGAATGACAAAATTAAAGTGGTTGGACAGTAATGCCCTTATTCATTTCTAGATTTCCTAGGGGATCCTAGCCATATGAAACTGAAATCTTTCTTCTTTTCATATGTTGCTACCGTATGAAGCCAAGAAATTTGGCGGCTGTTCTGCTGGATGGATTCTTCACGTGGTCTTTATGCATCCATCATGTTATCTATGTTGTGTAGCTCTTCTTCTCCTAAGCTATTCCAGTATGAGTTGTCATTATCTTCTGCTGTAACTTGTTCTGCTATCTGGTTGTAGATTTCATCAAAAAATTTTGCTCCTGTAGTGCTGATCCTGTATTCATATATATCATCTGGTCTCCTGGATGTGGATTCTGAATACACCTTGATAAACTTTGACTGGTACAGGAGGCTCAGACGACCATCATTAAATAGCTGTTGCTCGGCTATTATTGCTCCTCTGTATTGTTGGATGTCTTGCTTAGTAGGCATTCCTGTTTGTGCTGATTCTCCCGAACTAAGTAATTCATCAAAAGAAATAATAATCCTATGTTGTGCTAAATCTGGGTAAATGCTATCTTTAAACCACTCTGGGGGTATATTAGTGAAATCTAATTTTACATTTTTCCAGAGAGGAAGATAAAAACTTATAATTTCTCTAAATTTTTGGGAGAACGAATCTAAATGCTCGCTTTTTTCAATATAAAGTTTCCCTAAATAACCATATTGTGCTAATAATGCTGGAGTAACTACAATTATTTTTTGTTTATGCTCTAAATGCAGTTCCCTATATTCAATCATGTTAATGTTGGCTAAGTAAATAGTGTAATGGGAACAGTTTTTGGTAATAATTGTGATGCCAGGATGTGGATTACTTTTTAAATTGAAAAGAAAAGCTTGAATATAAAGTTGAAGAGATGTATTTTGCTCATATTCTAATTCAATTATGTGACTCTAAACATCTACTGGTAGAAATTTATACCTTTCTCTAGCTAGAGTTTGAAGAAAATAGGGATTTTTAGATTTTTGCTCAAGTAAAAATTCACTATTATGCTCAAGTAAGTTGGGCTTATTAGCCTCTTTTTCCTGTAAATTATGCTCAATTACGGTGGGCTTATTAGCCTCTTCTTGTAGAATTTGACATCTTAAATTAATAGTTCTAAAATGCCTAACTATTGTATCATATTCCCCTTTTTGCTCTGTATATTTTTCCTGCAAAAAAGAAAGTTGTTGTTTTGCTATTTTATAATCGTAATTATATGCTAAAAACTCTTGCTCAAGGGCTCTAATAAGCTTTTCATGCCCTTTTCTCATGCTTTCAGTATTTGTTCTAATATTCTAAAAGTTATCTAAAAGAACTTTTTGTTTTTCTGCTAATGATGCTTGAGTACGATACTTTAAAGAAGGATTTCTAACTTCTTGTACTGATATTCCATTATAAAAATAAATATTTGCTACTGATCGTGCTTGATTACTTATGCTTAATGGATTACCACCTAGTGATGGTATACCATTATTTTTGCTGCCAGATGATGATGGTCCAAAATACTGCATACCTGTTAATGAATAATACGAGATAAGATATCTGCTAAAGTATTATCCATACATTTAATATGCTCAAATATTGGTCTAAATCCATTTCCTGTAATAGAATCAGCAAAATTCACCCATCTTCGGGCTGCTTGTTTATTAGTAGTAATTTTATTATAATGAGAAACAATATTTTGACAATCTGTTCTAATAGTAAATATTTCATTATGTAAAAATAATGAAAATGCTTCAAGAGAATTAATGACTCCTAATATTTCTAATTCAGTGGCTGGAAGTCTAGCCTGTATATCATTAAATTTTCCTGATGCATATCTACAAACTTTTTCTTCTGATTTTGGTTCTTCTTTATGTTTCTTTTGATATAAAATTCCTGCCCATCCTATTGATGATGCGTTTGTTTCAACTATGTTGTAATTATTATCTAATGGTAATGCTAACGGTTTAAGTTGAGTTATATCTTGTTTTATGCTTTGAACTAACTTAATATCTTCACTATTAAAATATTTTTGTCCTGTTTTACTAGTTTTGCTATGCAAAGCTGCAATTTTCCTTCCTAAATCAAGGATAAAACTTCTAGCATAATTTAATAAACCTAAGAATGCTTGTAATTGCTTTTTATCCTCTAACTTATCTAGAAATTCTAACACTTTTTAGCTATGTTCTTGTAATTGTATGGTTCCTGACTTAATATACATACCTAAGAATTCTATATCTTGTTTTTCAAGCTCTACTTTATTTCTACTTATAACTATACCATTATCAATAAATTCTTTCAAAATAATTTCTAAGTGTTTTCTATGTTCATTTTTATTTTTACCATGAACTAATATATCATCTACATATACACTACAAAATTTATCATACTTCTTAAATATTTGGTCCATCTTTCTTTGAAAGATCGATGGTGCATTTTTTAATCCAAATGGCATTACAAGCCATTCAAAATGTCCTTCTGGACAGGTAAATGCTGTCCAATGGATTGATTCTTTTGCTAATCTAATTTGCCAAAATCCTGATTTACAATCAAACTTACTAAAATATTTACTTTCTTGAATTTTATTCATAAGCTCATCTTTATTTGGTAATTTATAACTATCTTCATAAGTATTATCATTTAATCTCCTATAATTATACATATTCTAGCTTTACCTCTCTTAAGTTCTGAATGTTTTCTAACTATAAAGGCTGCTGATCTATGTCTAGATTTTGAAGGTCTAATTACTTTTAAGTTTAAAAGTTCTTTTATTTGTTGTTCAAATTCTTGCTTATCTAACAAGTTACAAGGCATATCTTCTGTTTTAATTGTTAAGTCTGGATTGATAATGTTTAATTTTGCTAATATCTTATTCTTATTCCAATGTAATTGGGGATCTTCTCCTATAATTCTAGTTTGTTCAGCTAATTGTAACAATTCTTCTAAATTTTTTGGTCTATCTATTTCCATTATTTCTAAAGGTTCTACATTTCCTATAATTGGATACTCATGATCAAATATTATATCATCGTATTCTAGATTATTTTGTTCATCTATTTTTTCTTTACTTATTTCTTCTAATTCCTCCATGTTATATTTAAAATTTTGTTCTTCTATGTTAATACTATTGTAAGACCCTAATATATTACTTTGATCAGTTGTGGTTATACCTTTCTTAAAAAATGTAATGTCTGGAGGTGTATATAAAAATCCTCATTGTAAACTTTTTAAGAAATTTAATCCTAAGATAAAGGGATATGATCCTACTGGAGATATAAAGGTTAAGGGTAAATTAAACTGTTGTCTTTCTATCCTAATTGGTATATTATTAATACAATGTGTTAAGTATACAGGTCTTGTATCAAACTGTATGATTCTTACTGGTCTAGCTAATTTTGCCTATATTGTTCTGGCACTAACTCTTCTTTTATTACATTTTTTGTGCTTCCTGTATCTATCATGGCTGTTGTTTGAATTTTATTTTCTTTTGACAATTCTAACTCACAATTAATTGTTATTAATGAACTAGTCTTTTGTTTCTCTATACTAGGGCAATTATTCTTTTGATTATCTATTTCAACTATATTTATTTCTATTGGTCTATTATTAAAACAAGGTTTACAATAAACTATTGTCTTAGTGTAATATTTTTCTACCACTACTTTCTTACATTGATTACATTCTTGAGGCCATCCTAAATTAACATATTTAAATTCTTCATGCTCTGTTTTTTCTTCAAACATACACATATGTTCATCTAATTCACTATCGGAATTACTAGAGTAATCTAATTCTGATTCTGAGTCTAAGGCATTAACACTATAAATACTTTCATTATCACTTAAATTGTCATCTATACTATAGATTGATTCTAGGTCCTCATCATCTTCTAATTGAAATTGCTCAATTAATTGTAATTTTTCTCTAGGTTGTTTTCCTAATTTGGGACACTTAGGTCTAATATGTCCTACTTCACCACAAAGATAACATTTACATGTACTTTTATTAGGTACTTTATACTTTCTAATCCATGGTTTATTTGTTCTTTTCCTAAATTGCTTAGGGATATATTTTCTTCTTCTAAAAGTTTTTGAAGGTTGTATTCTAAAATTTTTATTTTGTTGTTTATAAGGTTTATATTTTCTATAGCTTTTTCTATATGGCTTCTTCTGCCTAAATTTCCTATGACATCTATACTGTTTTGGTAAATCTATATTTTTACAACTCATGTAAAACTGTTTTCTAATTTGTCTTTTTGCTTTTATCTGACTACATTCTGATCATAA